GCAAGTCCTGAAACACAATTCCAAATTAACTCTAGTATTGATTTGTATTATGCAAATATTAGCTATAAAGCTTGCAATCTCAACTTGATTAGGTTATAATGTATTAGTGTTGTGTTACAGCTTGTTTCAAATGACCTGAAGTGGCCACTGAAGTACAGTGATTAGACACATGACCAACACAAGCTAGTGATTGTTTTGTCATAAAATAATTACTTAGTTTGAAATATACATTTTTGTTTTTTACTTTTAAAAAAATTTGAACTCAGAACTAGCATGGGTTAGTCTATGAATAAAGGACCTAAAGTGTCAAACACATTAAACTGCACCTTGACACTGTGCTACGTTTGACTCTGTTGCTCCCTCTTAAAAATGTAAAGTTAAACTAATAAGCACTAAAATGCACACTCAGTTTAAAATGACTAGGGGTTTACCCACTACAAGCATAGGACCAGTAGCATATGTTGGCAGTACAGGACCAGCGGTAAGTTAAACTGTTACATGGTGCCACCATGTGGCCTTACATGCATGGTTTCTCTTGCGTATATTAAACACGGATTCATAATATTTTCAGTAAAACCTTTGAGTAAAATCTGTCATTTCTGAGGGCTCACATGTAGAACCTTAATTAAATGATTAAATATTAAATCTGCAATATAAAATGTGATGAGGAATTTTATAGTTGCAACTAAACACACATAATGGGGGTGTCATTAACTTAATTTCTTCATAACAAGGAGTTGAGGAAATAAAGATGGAAAGAGGAGCTTGGCTGCTGTAATCGCATTAGCACCCCTCATACTCCCACTCACATCAGCCTTTATTACCACTAGCTTGGAACAGGATTACTGTGAGTAGCAAACTCTGTATTCTTTGTTTCTATCATATGCCTGTGATATAATAATTTTATTCCTCACATAGTCAAACAAATCCAGGATGGTTTTATAGTTGTGAAACATTTCAGTACATCTTTCTGCAGCATTTTTGGTATTTGGCAAAAACAACTATGACACCACAATAATTATTTTATTATGAAATGAATGATTAATGCCAGAGTTTTTTTTTTCCCCTTATGTATAAGTTTGCTATCACTTTCCTGTTTGACTGTCTCTCTCCATTCCTCAGTTGTGGTGAATCCTCTTAGAGGTGGATTATGGGACTAAGATGTCTATAATGAGAGAGAGAGAGAAAGAGAAGATGAGCATGAGACACACAGACTGAGAGAAAGCAATACAGGAAGACATACAGAGAAGGAGAAGAAGAAAATGGAAAGAACCCCTCGGCCAGGAATGGGGTAGGAGGCCGTCTGTAACTTGGGTGAGTACACCAGCTTTTCCACAGATGCATAACATTTAGATTTGTTCTTTCCCAGCAACTCAAAATTATATTTACTGCAAAGAACAATGCCACTTTTTTCTGGTTATTTTTTTTAATGTATTTATTGTATTAAAATTTTAAAATATGAAGACTATCATCTGCTACCTAATTAGGGGCCTTAGTTTGGCTACAAGAGCAGCTGTTGTGTGTGTGTTGAGTTCCTTAAGGACAAACTACAGTAATGTGATAGACTGAGGGGATCACCTTACTCTTAATTAATCTCACTTACACCATAAGTTCATGTCCTATTAGTCACACTGAGGCAAAGGCAAAGAGATATCTGGCACTGATGAAGAGGACAGGATTCTTGCTAACAGGTGTCTCAGTGGTTGAAATAGATGATATTATAGGAAAATAATGCAGCACATTTTTCTACCTTCAAAGGAAGAGGCGCCTCACATGATGAAGCACATGTACCAGACTCCCACCCCCATTTTCATACACAAGACAGGGACGGACTAACAGGTGGAGATGTCTTTCCTGTCCTTTTACAACCGTCCTGGTTGGTGTGTGCGCTCTGCTGTCTGTATCCTCATCACGTTGCTCCTGGAGGCCAGAGCAGTTGACCTGAACGCCACCACTCAGCGCAATGGTGGGGGTTCCCAGTGCGGGGAGTACACTAACCAGGTAATTCCTATAAACATCCTGAATACTCAGCAAAGTGATGTTCACTAAACATGATACCACAATGGAAGCTTATTACTGCCTTCAGTTTCCTCTTTTAATCCATAGGTAGCCCAGCTCTGACAGAGCACCTCAGCTTAGCAGCAATCAGAATTGTTTCATTACCAAGTATATTTCCAGTATTGAAAATGCGATTTCACTGATGTAGTGGTAGTAGTAGTAGTAGTAATAAATAAAAGTAATTTTTCCTTTATAAAAAAAATCTCATATCAGAGGAGAAGTCACAGGCACAGTTGGGCTATTTTTCAGTCCCACTTGAGATCATGGGTAAAAAGACCATAAGGACCCTAGCACTTTTTTGTGTTTCCTGACTGACAGAAAGCTGGATGGTTTTTTCTTTTTCGGAATCAGAATCAGCTTTATTGGCAAGGTGTGTTGGACACACGAGGAATTTGACTCTGGTACAGCGGCTCTCAATGTGTATGTACATATCAACAAGCAAGGGAATGCGCATTAGGAAAAGAAAAAAATTGGAGTAAAGTACCCATAAATACACACACACACACACACACACACACACACACACACACAATCTGGATTCAATGGATCTATGTGTACAATGTACACCTACAGGTATTGCACTGAGGGTTTATTGTCCAGATGTACTGTTGTGGGCCAAGTGTTCATCAGAGTGATGGCCCAGGGGGAAGAAACTGTCTTTGTGCCTGGTTGTCTTGGCGCACAGTGACCTGTAGCGTCGTCCAGAGAGGACGGGTTCAAACAGTTTGTGTCCAGGGTGTGAGGGGTCTGCAGAAATCTTCTCCGCCCTCCTTTTGATCCGTGAGGTGTACAGGTCCTCCATGGAGGGCAGGTTGTACCAATGATCTTTTCTGCAGTCCTGACTGTTTGCTGGAGTCTGTTCTTATCCTTTGTGGAAATCTTCTTCATCTAACAGGTGATGGAGGATGGGATGTGTCGGCTAGTGGCCACGCTGCCTCAGCTGGATGAGCAAAGGTGCCCCGATATGTTTCGCTGCACAGATGAGGTTTCCTACTGGCTGCACGAGAACGAGCAGAGGAAACAGCAGATTGTGGTGCTGAGGGAGACCATCTCCGAGCTGCAGGAGGAGCTGAGGAGCCACCGGCATCGTATCAAAGCCCTTGAGCTGCAGGTGAACTTTCCATATTTACCTATACTGTAGCGGACCTGGGCCAACTGGCAGCAACAGTCTTTCCAATTGCCTGGAGTGTTTGCTTTAGTCTACCTGGAGGCTGACTGGATGTTGTCACAGTGCTCTTTTTTCCTCATCTAAAAATGAAACGTTTTCTTCCCTGTGTGTGCCGTATCAAATATGAAGTAACTCTTCAGAGGCACTTAGTGATAAATGTTTACTTCACTTTTATATTTCCTTTGGTGTAGAGATACTTCAGACTAAACTGTTTTGTCAAATGCTTTGAATGTAGTCTGATTTGATATGTACTTCCTCTTAAATGATTTCACTAGCTGTTAAAGGTCAGTGTTTGCAGTTTGGTGGATTACTATGAATAAAAATACCCTTCTATGCTGTGTTTTAAAAGAGGAAATGCATCAGATTTCTTGGTTAGTACAGTTCTGCATTGTAATGTGGTACCTGGTTACCTTCGCTACATGTCCTTGGCCTTAGTCACTAACAAGATTAGCCTCCTGCTCTTCCATGTGTTGCCTCATGCGTCTCAGGCAGTGAACCTATGAAGACGGACGTGTGTGGTGTGTTGTGCATGGGAAGAAGGCAGGGGAGAGGGCTCCTGGGTTTGTAGTAATGACAGTTAAGGTTTGGACAAGCCTAGCTGCATTGTATTAGAAGAGACTAGTTGACTCTTTTCCCCTGAGAGCACACTGTAATAGTTTTGAGTTGTAATATGTGCATGGAGATACTGTAGACAAGGAAAAACACTATCAGTTGTAATAGTGGCAGCTTTTATTTAAGCCAAATGTGACGAAAAAATCTTGAAATATATTTAACACCAGTGGTTCCCACAGTGCCAGCTCACCCTGCAGCCCTTAAAGGATGGGCCAGGGTGTCAAAAGATTTGGTTTTCATTTTTTGCTGTACATTCTACTATCACTTCAGCATGAAACAAAATGATGACATTTTAAAATATGTCAAAGCAGAAGACACAAATAATAAACATTTAAAACACTGCATTAAAATCCCGAGGCCAAGATGACTCCTGTGCAAGAAAAAACTGCATTATCTGCCAGTTTCCATGGAATGACTCTGTGGCAATACTTAGAACAGGCAAAAGAGAGCTAATGAAAAACAGTAAGTGCATGATAACATGTCTGAGTTACCTTGAGTTATTTTTGTCACTGAAAAATTAAAATGTAAGCAATTATTTTTTTAAACCAAGCTAAACCCTATTCAACCATGTAGTATACTGAATGTTTATTCATTAGTTAGTCAGTGTTATCTGCACAGCAACACTGACAACCATTTTTGTTAAGATTGAATTTGATTATATTATTTCACTCAGATTGATGATAGTTCATATATTGTCACATATTTTACATCAGCTTTATATGTTTTGATTTTTAAAATCAGTTCTTATAACAACTGTCACCTTTGTGCATTTTATTCTTTTTAGTTGCCATCTATTTTTGAATGCTTGTGTATTTCTGTGGATGGTATCAGAGTGAAGAGAGAAACTATATGAATATTTCCTTGGAACAGCGTTTTCATGAGCTGGAGGTGCACTATGCTGAAGCCACCACCCTGCTGCGCCTACAAGGCACCCTGATCCTTGACCTCCAGGTACGCCACGTCTCTTTATTCTGACTAGTACCATTTCATTTTCAGTGCTTTAAGGGAAGCAAAGACGTTGAGAACATGTACACTGCGATTTGTTTGTCTTTGTGTTTAGAACCAACTTCACAATCTGACACTTATGTTGAATAAAATAAAAAGAAGCCCTGGTTATTTGTTCAACAACGCCCATCCCAACCCACTCATGAGTGCTCAAGAAGCCCCACACCCAGGTATAGGTATACACTGGTAGAAACATATACACATGGTATGATCTCCCAACAGAGGGTACCAAACACCCATCGTTATTTAACTCATAAAATCCTGTCTCACATTTTCTTTCTTCAGAGATGCAGCATGTGAGGACCTGTCCCCTAGACTGTGCTTCCATCTACTACAATGGAGTGAGGAGATCAGGTCTATACACTGTAGTGCCGTCATTGGTAGGTGCACCTGTGGAGGTCTACTGTGATATGGACACAGATGGTGAGTTACATTCAAGGACACGAACATACTGTAAAGGTTAGCTTAGCTGCAACTATTTCAACCAAGTGGGCAAAGTTTTAATATCTGTGTTGGCAAGTGCATGTTGTGTTTTGAGCAAGACAGTGAGTAATAGTAAAGTATTTGCTTTGTAGTTCTCAGCTGGGCAGAGGGAAACATTAGGCATGGCATATGATTTCCTCACTACTTTTCTTTTTTTTTGCCTCAGGCGGTGGCTGGACTATGATTCAGCGGCGAGTCGATGGCTCAGTGAGCTTTGACCGCACCTGGAGGGATTACAGGGACGGTTTTGGTGACCTGCACTCAGAGTTCTGGCTGGGCAACGACCACATACATGACCTGAGCACCCAGGGAGACTATAGCCTTCGCATAGACCTGGAGGACTGGAGCCACAAGCACAGGCATGCTCTCTATCAAAGCTTCAGGTGAGTCCTGAACAAGTGCACAACCAGTTGACAAACACATGTACAACCACATGTATCTTTTGCAAAATGTTTATGCCTCAAAGCTGGTGATAGCTGTGGCTGAAGGCATTATGTCTTCAGGTTGTCCATGCGTCTGCTCCATTCATATGTACGTGATACCTCAGGAACACCTTGAAGAACTTTCTGCCAATTTGGCACAAGTGTGAACTTGGACTCAAGGATGAACTGATTACATTTTGGTAGTCAAAGGTCAAGGTCACTGTGTCCTCACAACTGGTTGGCAGAGGCATACAGCTGTGATGTGGTACCTCTAGCTTTGGTTCTTCTATTTGTGTTTACAGTGTGGAAAATGAGGCGCATCAGTATCGTCTTCATGTGTCAGGCTTCAGTGGCACGGTGCAGGACTCTTTCAGCTGGTACCATGACAAGCAGGGCTTCAGCACACCAGACAGTGGCAACATCTGTGCTGAGATCTCCCACGGTGGTTGGTGGTACAACCAGTGCTTCTATGCCAACCTTAATGGCATTTACTACAGGGTAAGTGTACACAGACTGATCACTTTATATTTTTAAAGTCATGTGTTGACTACATGTTTATCCTGCAGGGAGGCCAATACACTCCCAAAGGCCAGGGACCCCTGGGTCCTGATGGGATTGTCTGGTACTCCTGGAGAGACTCTGATTACTACTCCCTACGCAAAGTCAGCATGATGATCCGTCCACGCAACTTCCGAGCTCGTTTTTCGCCCTGAACCACTGTCACCATGACAACGGGTAGGATGCAGAGACTGTGACAATAGGGATTACTTTTCACTTGGACACCATAGTTATGATGACGGAGCCCACCTATAAAGAAGTGAATGTCAAATGTTTTTTTTTTTTTAAAGAGTAAGTCTACAGATAGTGGAAATGGCATCTCAAAAATATGGACTTAAGTTTGTTTCCAAAAATAAATTGTTCAAATTGAGTCTTTTTGGGATATGGACATTTGTCATGCAGTAATGGGAAGTTGGTGCTTCCTGATTTTTCTACTTCTATTTTGTACATTTAGTTTGAAAAGTTAGCACTTTAAACACTATTAGTATCTCAGCCAAAATAAAAAGGCAGATCATATATGATTTGCTGATAGACTCAAGGCTTGCACTGTCTGCAGGTGGCATGTTTGTTGAAGGCTCTGCAAACTGTGTACATGCCCTATTTATAATAGCTCCATTATGCTAGTTTCCATTAATTCTGATTTTAATTGTGTAACTTTTTATTCAAATATTAAGTGTATTACTGCTATTAATCACTAATGACCTAAGAACAGTCTGTTGTATTGGATTTAAAACAACAACAACAAAAAAACCAGACCTCAACCCTTTTGATTTGGCAAGTGCTATAGTTTCACTATATAGACTCAGGCAGAGATGTGCCAGCAGAGGCCTATCTGAACAATAAACACTACACAGGCCATGTGTTGCAGAGGACACTATCCCACAGTATAAAAAGTTCTCTGACCGGTGGCTGGAAATCATAGATAACTCTTATCAGTGTTCACACTGCGGTTTATCTGAGGCATCCAGTAAGTGCGAGTTACTTTCATTCAAATTACTTCACGCAGGGGTTTCCGCAGATCTTTAGCACACTGGTAAGTTTGTCAATACAGCAGGCCTGTGCTAGGCACATGTATAGTCAGGCCAACAAATAACAGGCTGCAAGTTTTAATCCGTTCACTTAAAACTCTTGTACAGCCTGAAAAAAAATGAAGTTTTGCAAAATTTTATTGACCGAGTATGGAAGTATTTTTATTGCAAAATATTTTTCAAACTATTAAAAAGGTGCACCCATGAAGCTCCAAACACTAGAGCACAAATACTGGAAATAACAGACAACATAAGAGTGGGTGTACAAGATCTCCTCGCCTGGCTACATGTGGCCTTTACATCCAGCTGCACCTGATGGCAGCAAGAGTTAAATGTGGAGTAAAAGGGCTCTTTCACTTCCTCTGAGCCTGCACAAACACACTCTTTGACCCTTTGCGCAGGCTAACTACTCATTCTCATTCCTATCCATGGCTAAGCAAGAATCTGCAGCGAGAATAAGGGCTTTACTGTGAGGAAATCGGAGTACATAGTGTATTTTACACTCTGAACCACATACAGAGGGCTGTAGTATGTAGATAAGGGCTTTTTCAAACACATAAAAAAGCAAAAAAAAAAAAAAAAAAAATTCACAAGATGGATTTCTTTTGCGCTGAACAACATCAGTGTCTAATAGCCTGAGCAGTTTTTCTCTCTGTAGTTACACTGTATTGCAAATATTTCTATACATAAAATAGTATCAATGTCAAGCACCTGATATGTCCAATATAATATATATTTATATGTAAGTGATAAGAAAACAGAGTGAACAGGATTAGAGACTGATGGATTGAAAACCAGGTGGTGAAATGCAAAAACAAACTGTATACGTGACAATCCATGGCTCTGTCCCAAACCCTTCTTATACTACAGATTCTTACAGTACCATTGCTGCTAGACTTTCATATAAAACACCTTAAGCTGGTCAAAAAAGGCAATGTTTGGCAATTTCTGATGTGCTGACTTTAGGTTTAAATCTACAGCTTAAAACAATGAACTTTACTATGATTTATCCCACATTTTGTCTTCTATCCTGAAATGTAAACTGCAGTGTCATAGTAGATAAAGGGGGGGGCAACTAACTGAAGCTTCTTCTCTTTTCCTCAAAGGGGCAAGGCACGTGAGCAAGACAGGGAAGAGGTGGAGCTTCCTGTTAGTGCAGGATGGAAGGGGCTAGGCACTGCCAGCAGTGGATATACAGAGGACACACACTCTGCTTTTGCAACTCTTCCAAATTCGTTAGCTTTATAAAGGAACGCTCCACTGGTTCTGTATATTCTATATTTAGAAATTAGCTCCCTGACTGCCCCTATTGATAGAAAGAAAAATGGCTTTGGTTTTGATTCACTGTGCAGATAGCAGTTTTGCAACACGTGTAGATCTTTTCCTTTATCACTTTTAACACGGAACAGTTTGCAAAACTGCAGAGTATTATTTTGAAATAATGTAAGCACAGGCATGTTTGCACCCATAGCTGTACTGGAATTAAATGAAGCAATTCATACCCACATCTTGGACAGAGGCAAGGGTGTACATAAATATCTATCATCTCTGACCCTAACACCTACAAATGTCAAAGCCTTTTCAGCTGCTGCACTTGCTCATCGACTGTTCATAAACTTCTGAGAGCAGTGGACAAAGTAATACCATGAGCTGGGGCTGGTGGCATGAGCGGTAAAGGACGAGATGAGGTAAGAGTGAAAGAAAGAGAAAAGTGAAATTTAAAGGGAGGGAAAAGAAGACAGTATGACCAAGAATATTTAGAATGACGAGTTGTTTACTTCTTCTTGTCTTGTAGTGCGAGACTGAAGGCTTTCACATTGTTGTGAACTGACTGTGGGCTTGCCTGAGCTTTGCAGCAATCTAGGGATTCAGAAGAAGGAAGAAGCATGAATACAGAAACAGAGCGTGGTCAGGATGGTTACAGACTGCAATTTACTGTGGCAGATGGTCGATAAACATGCGTTTACCGTTTCGTAAAACTTGACTTGTTCCTCCAGATACAACTGCATGACCCTGTTGTAGTCATAGATACGGTTGCTATGGAAGTGGTTCATCTCAGCTGAGGTCGATAAGAGTGGAAAACCAGAGATCAGACAACACGTCTCAATGAAGTACAAAACTTCAGTGTCTCTGGCTGAGAGTGTGGGATACCTTGTAATGCGTAAGACATGGTGCTGACTCGTTTAGCCATGGTGAGTTTGTCCTGGGGGGTAATTTTACTGGTGGCCACCAGCTTGTCGGCCTCCTTCACCTTGTCTATGGCGGCCTGCGAGAATTAAAAATGAGCAAATAACACAGGAGTCTTCAGTTACATTACAGGAGAGGAAAATCAGTAAACTCCTCTACCTGATAAGGTGAAATTTCAAAAATGAGAGAAAATGTCAGTCTGATATCTTAACACTCTTCATGTTCCTTTTGTCCGTTTTGGACTAGGATGCACTAGCTGTTTGTAAATTCATTACAAAGATAGGAAAGAAATTCATGAGAGCATTTTGAGATGCCACAATTTACAAATTAAACAATTTTAGGAGTCAAATCAAATTTATTTGTATAGCACTTTAAAAACATCCAGTTGGCCAAAGTACTTTACATAGACAGAATAAAATCACAATAAATAACTAAAACAGAATAAATAAGATCAGTGCAAAAAATAAAACAGCCAAAGAACACACACACACACACACACACACACACACAGATGACAGGCATTCAATAAATTAAAAGGAATGCATCAGGTCAAACAATATATTAAACTGTTGTTCTGTAAATGTAGGTAAAAGGTTATTTATATTAAAACAGTCTTTTAAACTTTAATTTAGGGTATATTCCATTAAATTAGCTTTTGCATAAGCCTTAAATAACAATAAATCCTGAAGTACCTTATGGACTCCGATGGTGTCTGGGAAGCATCCAAGAAGACCTTTATATTCATTGTTGGTCTCCATGAGGAAGTGGAGATCTTTCTTGGGCTAGAAAAGGAACAAACACAGACATAAATAAGAATGATAAATGTATAAGGGAAACAGCAAGACTCAGGTATCTAAATTTGGGACAAAATATTATTAAAGTCAGAAGAGGAAAAAACAAATGCATCTGAAACTGATAAGAGAACATGTCATTGGATTTAAATTTTAACAACAGCCTGAAGATAGCTAGATAAAGACAATGAACAGTGAGTTGATAAAGGAAAAAACACCAATAGAAGAACGGAGCAAACATTTTTGCATTTATCCTGCAGTGTATGTTTGCTATTTGTATAAACTATCTCACACTACATTCCCCCCAGATCCTTGAATATACAAGGGAATGCTATGTGCCGCCCTTTGTGGATAATGTAACAGATAAACTGTCTTGTTTTAGCCTTTTGGCTCCAGAGTTGAATCCATGTCTAGAAAATGGCCTTCTCCACTGAACCGTATTACAGGCATCACTAACAATGTGCCTGGAGCAGGACACACTTACCAGATGAATCCTCCCTGTAGAAGCTGCTGCAGTATCAAAAAAGAAGCCTAGGTTTGACTTTTACACCACACCAATTAGGTAAGACAGACTGTTCAGCCAAGCCACATTCACACAGTAGGTCAAAAAAAGATCTAGGAAATAGTAAAAATAAGTGTTCCCATGGCTTCTTCTGTTACACATGCAGACTTCACAAGCAGGACACTGGGTTAAACGGGTCATTAAAAAGCTGCAACTAGGCTGTGAACACCGACTACAAACAGGAAATGTTCACAGACACTGTGAGATGATGTGAAAATGCAACTATGTGGTTTGTAAAAAAAGGCACTAAAATAATCTTTAAGACCTTTGAAAGTCTACACTCCCTTGTTACTGAAGGGAAATGAGCATTGTATATCCAACACCCCTGACAGGATGTGTGTAGACCGTTGAGACATGAAAAAAAAAAAGTACAGTAATAACAGATGTGTTGGGTGATAAGAACACAGCACACAGTCAAAACCTACCTGCTCTGCAAACATCTGAGCTATCTCCTCATATGTCTTTCCTGTAGCTGTCATAGCATCAGTCAGGGTCGACTCGCCTACGGCAGAAAACGTGCTTGTCAGGTTGATTCAAAACAGATTTCTACATGAATGACTGCACAGTAAAGTGCATTTACTACTTCTATTACCATTATGATTATTGCATGTGTTCATTACAGCAATCTTCTGAACAGAAAGACCACTAGCAAATGCCTGCACCTGGGAAAATGCACAAGGAATTTGTGTTCAGTACCCTGGTATCCGCTGCTGCTGAAGACAGAGGAGAGGTTTTGGACGGCTTTCCCGATTCTCTGGTACTCTTTAGGCAAAGCTGTGGAGAGGAAGAAATGAAACATGAACGCACACATACACAAAGAGAATAAAGGTCTTAAAGTTTGACAAAATACTCCACATAATGCATCTTTAACATAAACAGTAATTACAGCACCAAGTGAAGCTGTGATATGTGTGAGGCAAAACATGTATTTAGCTTCAACGCTGTGTGCACTGCACGTACGGCCTGTACATCTCTTCCAGTGCTCGTTTCCCACTGTGAGGATTTCCTTCACGCCATCATCCATGGCTTTGGTAAATCTGCTGAACTGCTCACATTTCTGTTCCCTGTGGATGAAGAGGAACAAGTTGTGTATATACAGTGAACCAAAGCAGGTGAACATACAGGAATGGACACGATGCCAGCCCTTGGAGCATAGTTTTCTCAAACTCACACTTCTGAAGGATCCAGGTCTGGAGCTTCAGGCTCTACTGTGGAGAAGATCATAACTCCTACGGTCTCATCCTTCTCTGCTTTTCTCTTCCCCATCTTCCAGTCCTGCTCCAATTAATCATTTACTTTAGTTAAACACACAAAAAAATCTCCAAACCTATATTTTAGTAATCACAGATAATCCTGTTCAAAGTTTTAAGCAGCTGTTTAAAGTCAAATCATATTTACTCAGATTCTTCATCAAATAGTAGGTTTCAGTAATAGAATCCTTCAATAATACAGCCTTAAAGCACACAGAATGTATGACTTTAATGGTGAAAAAGTGGAGGAGGCACAACATACCTTCTCATCTTTGTAGGTGAGGAAAAGTTGGAATACTTCACTGCTGGAAATGACAGGGTGCCTGCACATCCTGGTCACCCAGCCCTGCAACCGCTCCATACGCATCTTAATAAACTCCTCCTCAAAACGCCCTGGAATAGAGGGGAGGACACAAAGAAATGATTTAATTTAAATGTCAACTGTAACATAGTTTATCTTACTGGAAAAAAAGTGTCTTCCATTTATTGTTTACAGTGTTGGGCGCTTACCTGTCACCTGCTTGTCTGGTAGAGAGGGGATTGGGATGGCTGACCCAAATTTGTCCAGGAGCCTCTCGTATAGCCAATCAAAATGCTTGTATCTGTGGTTGACTGGTCGGTTTGTTGTCTGCAAACCATTAAAACTGAGTTATAGGCCCCATAAGTCATGTAAGATGGGAAGGTTATTACTTTAACAAACTTTTCCTTTGAAGAGAATTGAGCGGTGCATTTTCAGATAGCCAGTGTCTAAACTCTTATTTACCTGTAGTTAAACAATGACAATTTGAAAGTGCCACCGGATACTTACACTGGCTGTGATCTGGTACTCGATGTAGCTCTTGAGGCCATACATCTTTGAACCTTTCTTGGGGTCAGCCACCACACAGTCTAGCTGAGTCTCTGGATAGGACCAAACCGGGCCAACCTCGCCCATCTGAGTGTGACACATAAAGTTTAGAAACCTGCTACTCTCCCTTTTATGGCACAGACATAAGCTCAAGCTGCCAAAAAAGAGGAAACTATGTCAAACCATGCTCTAATAATATCTTCTGGTATACTCTTTCTTGTTCAGTCATTACTGCACCACTACCACTAATAACAAATAAAGACAACTGGCAATATACTGTACACTATTTGCATGGACATTGTGAGATAACCTACATAGATTGGCAGCTTGTCTTTGCTCTTAGCAAGCTGCTTGCATAGGAGGTAGAGCTCTGGACCAGACTTGGAGAACCCAGGGAATCTGCTCAAAAAGAATTGACAAAGTTTGAAAAGTGATGTTCTTGATCACTCTTTCACAAAACCTGCCACCATTAAAAACAAACATTTCTACGAATGGTCCTTGTGGTATTTGTGGCTTTTAACAGGTAATAAATGTTAATGCTGATTCAAGCAATGTACAAGAAATTCTGTGAGATACAAGGACATTCCTGGAAGCAATAAACATAACTCTCAAGGTTAAGCACACGTCAGTAGTTTAATGATTACAGTTTAAATCAATATTTTTTTCTGTGATTTGCTTTACTATACCCAGTGGCTGTCAAACACAGCTCTGCTGCTTCTTTCTTCTCTAATAACACTTGAATTCATAGCCTTGTGAATCAATTGTCTTTAATTAACTCTTACTTGTTGAGGGAGATTTTCATTGAAGTTGCGTGAGCTCCTCCTCTCTGCATGGCTCCACCGTCGCCAGATTCGGACTCGACGTAACCTCCAGTGGACTTCATGTCATCCCACTCATCGTCCCACTCATCGTCCTCTGCTCCTAAGGTCATATATGTGCATTAGGTTGTTAGTTTTCAATAGGGACACACACCAATACCACCTCTTTTTCAGACCAAGTACAAGTAAGAGGACTTACTGTAGATTTGTGTACCGCTGTAATAATAATAATAATAATAATAGTGTTTCAACTATAAAAATTACAATTACACATAAAAGTGCAATAATTTTAGAGATGGTTTTTATTTTCATGAGGTTTGCTTTCTGATTGTAATTAAATATAACAGGGAGCTGTGCAAATTACCTTAAAGCATTTTGTGTCAAACTGCCACCATTCCTACTGAATATAACATGTACTGTAACTGACTGAATGTGTGTAGCCTACTACACAACATACTGTAATATTTTACATATGGTTACATTTGTTTAAGGTTTCAAACATTTTCTTTCTGCCATAGCTCAAGTTTCTTATGAAAATGAGGAGCATGCTTTCTGGTGTTAAGTCAACGTATGCAAAGTGCAGGCACAGCCAAGAGAAGTCAGCAACCAATGATTTCAAAATAAATTAATTTAAAAAAATTCTATTACTAGATGCCACAAAAAAAACAACACCTTTGTATAGCAAGACTTTCCTCCTCATTCAAAATTAGTCTCTGTGGTGTTAGGCCGACTGTAAGCTCTGAATCAGGCCAGAGAAAACCCCTCCATGCATACACAACAGGCAAGTTAGTAAACCACAAGCCCACTGCTGCGTTACAGTTCATGTGCCCTACAAAAATACAAACTCACTGCCTCATACACATGCTTTTTAAAAAAAACGCAAATAATTTCCTTAAACTATTTGCTGAAAAACCAGTCTTTGAGTTCTTATTAGCAATCCAAACACAAAAACTAGAAAAAGGCTTCCACCAGTCAGTGTACCTGTGTAATCAATAAGGCAAGGGTATGGGTAGATGTCTTGGGAAAGAGAGAAAGAAAGGAAAAGTCTGTTGATTTTTCTCCTTGACATTTAATCCCTCCGTTTTCTTTGAACAAAAAAACAGGTTAAGTAATTTGTCCTTCTGAGTCATGGGTGAGGTCAACTTTTCCATAGTCTGGAAAAAGCTGAATTATGATTGTCCAGCTCACATACTGGAGTATCTCTGTGGTTGGACTGGCCAGAGACGGACGACTGAACAGAATTACCATTTCCATATTGTTTACTAGTATATCATATATGTTACACTTCCGCTACAAAAAACATGTACAGTATACATACAGACAGATACTTCCTACTGCACGTACTGTAGTTATAAATATGCTATTTTGCACTTCGAGTTAGATGCCAACTGGTACGCCAAGGAAGGAGGAAGACGTGACCTACATATGGGCGACTAACAAAATACACTTTTTAGAAAAGTACTTCCAGGACAGCAAGCTCTATCGCAATATTCACAAACAAGAACCACAACAGAAAGCTGATTCTGACATGAGACTAGGCTGTTATAAATGCACATGATTCACAAAGCACAAAGTCAAACTGTGTTGCACTGTAGTGTTACACAAGCTTGCTTTAATTGACTATGTGCTAAAAAGCCTCCTCACACCCCCCGAGGGCTCAGCAGTAATTCTTGGCTTTTCAGACCAACTGCATCCAGTGCAGTTTGATATGCTACCCTGTTCCCACAATTTCACTTTAAAAAGCAAACTATATGCAAACAGTAAGCTTAACTGTTTAACAAGATAATGACTCCAAGAACTAAAAACAGTGTGCGACCTGCCCACGCCTGCAACCACATTAAAACATGATAAACCGTCTCCATGATCTGTTTCCAGCTCTACATTTTCACAACCAACAAATATAACAAATCAGCAGCAGAAACACTTCAGACTGGCATATGGAGAATAGTCTCTTTTTCGTAATTTTAATTATCATTTGATTTGAATAGCAATACTGAGTAGTTTAAGTACAACCACAAAAATTTAACTTACAATTATTAAATGACAGTGACATCACCTAACTGCAAAGCTGTTCGTACCTGGGCCCTGGTAAGCCTGGGGGTGGCCGTGTGATGTGGAGCCCCAGGGGTCAGCAGTACTCTTCGCAGTCTGTGTGCCCTCCGGATTGGACGCCCAGTTGTTGTTGGAGCCCCCTGAGGGATCCGCATTCCATGCCAACCAGGGATCATTCCCATTACTCGCCTAGAAGGGACAGAGAGAGAAAATGTGAGGGATGGAAGAAACAGAGAAACATCAGATAAAGAATGTGAGTGAAGGAAATGGAGAAAGAGAAGACACAGTGGAATCCAGCCTAGCTTGGAGTCTGTTTAATAAGAAGCTGACAGGAGTCTAAAACCAACATGCTTTGCCAGACACATGATGCAGAGCTGGCCTCTAATGGGAACACTTTTAAGATATTCTAACAGCTTGGTGGTGACAGTATGGTAAAGAAATGCCTCTTAACACATGCAGCAACATGAAATACAAAAGGTAATACAAAATGCTGCATATTTGAAAAAAAGGTAATATTAAAAACATGCTTAGAACGATGAGTGTGCATGCTCACACACAAACACTACCATTCTCAAGCCTATACACATCGTTTATAGCACTTTCAGGCCAAAAATGCAACTACTGTACGGGTCATGCCTACAAGACTGCCATGCAACAGTGTGTGTGTGTGTGTGCCTTTTGTAGGTTGCATTTAATTTAATGCTAACCAAACACTGAGCCGTCTGAACACAGAACTAATGCAATGTCATTAAATACACCATGTAATACACATTCACATATAGAAAAATAGAGACCAATAGTTTGAGTGACATTGACAAATAAACACATTACAGCAGGAACAAGACTCCAACTGCATTTTCCAAGTGTAACAACACCATTACTGGACATACATAGACAACAGTTAATACCAAATTACAGAATATACAAAACTGCTTATTTTTATCAATGCGATTCTAAACATCATCTGGAGCAATGTGTTCCAGTTTAATGATTCATCAGTGTGATTAGTCAATTATATGTGAGGTATAATGATCATTGGATGATGTTTGTTTTCACTGTGGTGCTGATTCATACAATTTAGCTGAAGTTGTGGGAGCTGAGCGGAGACGTGGGAGTGCCTCTGTATCTGTACTATAGTGCGAGGTGAACAGAGAAGATGAGGTCATGCTTTCTGCAGGCAGTGGGAGGGGGAATTTGTCAAAGCGGACCAATCAGAGAGGAGGATGCTTGGGGTGGAAAATGAATATCGGGGTTTGGGTTCATGCCACCAGTCACACCCACCACCTCCATGTGGTGGTTACCTCATCGGGGGACGAAAGGTACGGGGGAACTGGGGTGTCGGGGGTGTCCGGCTGGGGACTCAAGCCCCCAGCATCCACCTTGAGAGGCAGAGAAGGTGACATCATCACAAAGCACTGGCAGTGAAGATTTACAAGATAGGTTAAAATGCTTAACTTTAGATGTGTTTGTGTATGTGTGAGAGTGTTGGATGGTGGCTGACGCATTTCCTGCCTTGAGTCAACCACTTACTCTTCCCATATTTCTACTTATCCAGCTGTTTGCTCATTTGTGCGGAACTTCCTGCTTGCTAACGTCAAGAGATTTCTCTAAAGTTATTTCCTCTCCATTCTTTTTTTACTCGACTTAAAATCTGCATCGGTTACAAATGACACAACTACAGTGATCATCTCTCACAGCAGGTACTCTCACTTCTGCATCTCTGAGGTCGACACAAGCTGCATGAGCATGAAACTCGCTTACTTAGCTTTTGGCTTTTCCTTCAACATCACCCCATTACACATACTTTTGAGAAAGAGAATGGCAGTAGAGACGCACTCGACTGGCAGAAATCATTAATAGCCGGTTTTCAGCGTAATCGCCCTTAACCAGTGACCGGCTGATCACCCTGAGATATCTGATTCTGTGCCAGTCAGATTTAGAGACACGACAGTTCACGTCATGCATGCAGTGGCACAGACCAAAAGCATAGTGTGTGCAGCTTGTAACATCTTGTGTGCACCTCGAGCTACACTTGCGCTCGTCAATATCAGCAGGTCAGACTTAAAAAAAATTAACTGGCCAAGTAAACTACAATCTCATGGCATCTCGTGACAGGTGTACTAGGGCTGGCATTATTTTACATGTTTACTTCCCCAGCACTGGTCTGAGTTGGAGTGTTCAGAGAAGTCAAGGATGTATGTTAATTTAATACTCTGAAAAACAGCTGTCTGTTATGGTACCAGTAAACACACACCCTCATTAGGTGGGTGCATTACCTGTTTATGTGCAGGTGCTGATGTGGGAGCGTAAGCGTCAAAGAAGGACAGGTCTGCAGATGCAACATTTCCTACTGCTGAAGTAGGTGCTGTGGTTCCTGGGAACGATGGAAATGCCTTACTGACCTGCAGTTGAGAGAATAAAAGAGAAAAAAAACAGAGAAAGACATTTAAACCAATTCCAGATATTCCAGTGTGATCTGATGGCTTTTAAAGGTATGTTCTTCTGTGGCAATGTGATTGTGCCTCCTTGACATTCTCTGGCTCTGCAAACTGAATTTTTCTCAGTTTATCCAAAATATGATAGCACTGGCAGACAAATGTACACCTTTAAATGTGCTTTATTGTATATAAATAAAAAAACAGCATGTAATTCTATTTTTGTAGCTCAAGATCCTTTTGTTTTTGCAGACCTTATTTTTTTACCAATGCCACTGAAATAGAAAGCAAGTTGTTTTTATTAAAATATTACATATGTTACAAGTGCAACTGAGTGTTTTTTAAATGAATTTAGACACTATGTGGAGGCAGCTGGAGAGGTAACTTAAGGTCAGACAAACACATTCACATGAGTGTTTGTGGGTTTAAGCAGATGGATAATATCAATCTCTTGCTCGTACACACAAAGACACAGAATGGTTAGCTGCTATAATAAGTGTTGTTTAGAGTGAGGCTGACTTGTTCAACAGACTTCACTGACTTTATGTTTAATCGCCGCCTCTTTGTGAATGTCTTTGGAATGAATCATGGCTCAGTGGTGAAGTCTGAGTTACTGGATCAAACACACAAACAGCAAAACCCTGAAGGAGTCACATCCTGTTGTGATTTTACTTTCAGGCAAGAGATAGCAGCCAATGCAGATGCATATTCTTGTTTACAATTAGACCTACCTGACTGTTATGAATACTGGGAGATTGAAATATTGGTTTGTGCTCTGACTTGTTTATTGCATATTGTGCATCTTGACCTCAAAACATGATAGCAGGTAGCTTTGTTGCTTAATTTTCTGGAGGTAAATGTACTTCAAATATTGTGTCGGATGTGAGACATCTGTGGTGAAATCACCATCACACACTAAACGACTGTCTATCTTACCTCAATGTAGTCTTCTGGCACCAGTCCAACCTCCCCTCTGGAGTTCTGTGCTTCAATCCAGCCACCGCCAATACTCTGAAAAGCAGCAAGAGCCAATAGGACATTAGCATGAATGACAGAGAGTGGCTCAGAAGAGAGCAGTGTGCATTGCATGCAGGGACAAGTCCAATTGAAAAATAATCTGACAATGTTTTGACATAATCTGATCACTCTAGAACCCACATTTCCACTCAGGTGATCAGGAATCTGATTACTCCTGCAAGACACAGGCTCTGTAATGAAACAGCAACCACCAATTTGGTGCAGTTCAGGATTCTGTTAGTCATCTGTGGAAACTAATGATTCTATTAGTCATCTGTGGAAACTAATCTAAACAGTTTCAGTTCAAGTCCTACTTTAGATTTATCCATTTAGAGACATTTTGCTGCGAGTAATGCCGATCCCTTTGATTCACTATAGCAATACTGTATGAAACATAACTCCAAATCAGAAAAAGTTGGAATGGTATGTAAAATCTAAATTAAAACTGAAAATAGTGATTTATAAATCATCTGTGTCCTGTATTACATTGAAAACAATGCAGCAGCACATTATTTGGTGTGATGCATCATCAATTTTATTCTTTGTTCAATATAAACACTCCAATTCTGATGCCTGCAACACATTCCAGAAAAGATGATTCTATTTGAAACAGGTGATTTCAACTTTTCCCAATTTGGGGTTGTATTTGATATGAACAAGCACATGTGTAGACCCTCAATAAATCAGGTGTCTCTAGAAAAAAACAGTTTTGTTACTGTCTCTGTGCTTCTCTGAGCTCATTATCACAATTAAGAAAACCAGCTTTCCATTTACATGTTGTTTGAAGAAAGAGATCTGATGATAACCAGTTTACCAAAGTATCTGTAAGCACAACAAACAGTCCCAGGACAAATTCCTCCTGATACAATACATCCTGGTTAGCTTAATATAGAGTTTGACTAGAAAACTATGTAGGTTGGCCCACAGTGTGTGATCTTTGAACTGTTGACAACTAGCTGTAATGACATAATGTTCACTCTCTCTCACTTTCCCCTCCAGTCCTGTGTGAGTTTGTGACACTCATTGTTTATATAGAGCCTGAGATCATGTGAATTTGACATTTATAGGCCTGCTGGTTTTCATTCAAACTACAAAAAGAATCACCAGAGAACTTATATAAGGGGCATTACACAAATCCATTATGGTCATTTAATTCTTACATTTTTGTTAAGGTAATAATTGTTATTGTGCCGAGACCCCAACACTGAATAATTCTTAAAAATCAGATCATGCTACCTACTGTACATCAATACAAATACAAATTTGGGCAACATTTTATTTTATAGATCTATTTCCTAATAATTTCTGGAACGTTTCCTGGAAAGTAACATGTGGTTTTGGTATTAATTACACAAAAATAAGGGACAAAGTTCTCATACTAAGAAAAAAAATCAGTTATGCCACTAAGCTGTGTTGAGTTTATTACTGGCTTCCAAATGACTTTCCATGAAAGTAATCACTCAATGTAAATGCCAGTTAATATTTATTATTAAATGGCTTCATTTGTGCTGAACTGGATGGTTTTTAGACAAACTTAGCATTTTGCATGTGTAGTTCACCTTTGGTCCTCTGAATAAAAGCTGAAAGTTCATGCTAAGTATTTAGAAATAACTGGAAGTATACTAAGCTATCACTTTCTAATTTTACCTATATTAGTACCAAAATATATAGTTCCTTCCAGGAAATTATTTAGAATAAACTGAAATTTACAGACCTGTAAAATAAAGTGTTACCCAAATTGTACACAATATGCACAAAGCAGGTATGAGTAACACAATCACATGCAAATTAAAGTGATGAGAAACCAAGTTGAAATGAAAATCAAACAAGAATAAAAACAACATCCTGGAGCCTGCAGAATTCACACTGACACAAAAGCATTGCAGCAGTAGCTACTAGGGTCTTGTACCCAGCATCCACTGTAAGACGACAGTGGGAAGGTAAAAGAATCCTGTACGTATTTACCTGATTGGTGATTGTGATTGTCTCGCCTTCTCTCACTGTTAACTCGTTGTTTCCAGGCTCAGCGGTGAAGTCATACAAAACCTGTGCCTGAGCACAAGTCAAGAAGCAAAAACACATATACAAGGCTTACTGCATGTTGGATGGACACTTTTTGAATGTACACACCTATACAACATACCCTACAATGTGCAGTACACATGAATTGAAATGAGATTGCAGCTAAACAGTCCAAACTAGCTCTTCTGGGATTGTTAATGCTAACTCTTACTTTGGCACCAGTATCAAACAAAAAAAGGCCTGAACCATCATGTTACATGGTTCAGTTTAGTACAGGGGTCTGCAGTTCTTCTCACATTGGCCCACATCTGCTAGCCTTCCCTTCCCCCAGGGCCCGAGAGACACACACTCAACCGTGAGAGATGAGAGTGAGAACTATTCTAAATATGTCTTTGCTTTTCACTGTTTCTTTCATGATTGATTTTTAAACCTCACTTATTTACATAAGTCTGACTATCTAAATTTACTTGGATTGCCACTTCTCATCCAAACTAAGATGCCAGCATGCTGCGTTATCAAAACAGTATCAAATTCTGTCTGTTAACCAGTCAGACAGAATGCAAGGCTATTTGCTCTTTGATTTGATTTGATTTATTCTTTCAAGCATGTAAAAACAGTTGATATGACCACACACATAATTTTACACATAATCCAATATCAATTTGCTTATACCTAGTACATGCTTGAATGGAGTAGGAAGAAGTCAGACTTCCCATGACATCATCTTACCATCATTGGTTTGCAAGCTGTAAATGATTCACTTCTACCCACACACATATTACACACATATTATACTAAAAAAAGATTTTAACAGTGTTAACATTCTTACATCACACAAGTAATATACTAAAGAATTATTGCCAAATGTACAGAATATTTTTTTGGTTGTACGTATAGCATGAATTTTTAAGTTTAACTGACCCCTTAAATTATATCCCCCTTCCCTTTCATTGAATAACTTTTGAATTCCACCAGGTAATAAATTGTTCCTGGCTTTATACATAAACACAGCAGTCTTATATCCCACTAAATCGAAAAATTTTAACAATTTAGACTGTATGAAAGCTACATTGGTGTGATCCCTGTACCCCATCTTATGCTTCCTTGAAGAGACCATGTATTTCTGTTATTTAGCCTGTCCTCCTTGATGAAAGTGTGGTGGACAACAACACAGAAACACGTGCATAAGGAACATACATCTTAATCAACATCTGTTTTTTGTTCCAATCAAAACTGGACATTATCACCGCCATGAAAGTAAGATTTACTGCAGGACTCTGGAATCAGACTACATTTCCCAGAATTCCATGGACGTAGACATGACCCGTATTGGAAAGGTAGTAAAATGTCACAAGACACTTTCTTAATTACATATTTTCCATGTAGACTAGCAAAAACATCAGTTTCACATTCGCTACATAGGCGTGTTGTACACGCTTCTAAACCGAAGTATTGAAGTGTTTTTGACTTTTCACTTATCGAGTGAAATGTTTACTGTAAAACTAATGCGCGAAAATGCAACTCTGTGCCCCTACGGATCCGTAGCTCGCATTTTCCGTACAAAAAACAACTATCAGGACAAACTGGAGGAGACAGTGCACCCGGGTTGACGTTAAAACAGCCTAGAAAAGTTGTCAGACCTACCTTTTGCGCCATTATCGAAGCACTGATCAATCATTAGAAAAACGGGCCCAACAGTTGTCAGGATTTTAGTCCTCAGCTGGACATTTCCCCCGCTGCTTTTCAACCAAATGCGAAGAAGAGTGATTCCTCCCTGTGGAGAGCCGCCGCACCACCGACTTCAACGCATTACTAAAAACAGTTGTCACTATATCAACTCAACAACTTGAGAGAAGACAGTAAGATTAGGACTACTTAGGTGCTACTGATAGTCTGAAACGCGTAGAGAGCTGTGACAGCAGGGAGTGGGGGAGTGACCTGCACCACTGAGAGAAACCGGAAAGGTAGTTTCGGTCCGATATGGCTATCCAAGACGTGACTAGTATGTTTTTTTAAAAACAAAACAAACTAACAAAAAAACAAAACACGAAGTTAGAAATCTGAGCACCTAAAGACGAATAAGAAGGGAAAAGGTAAACTATTTAACAGCTTACATACAAAATAATAGGCTACTAATGGCAAATATTTATATTATTATAACAAAATGTAAATAATAGGGCCTACCTTTTTACTGATTATAGCCTAATAACACCATCATTGTAAACTTGCCTTGTGAAACAGTCAACATTTCCTTTTTTTTTTAAGAAAAAATATATTAAATATTTAAAATTCGTCGTCTATTTCGTTTTATGGTATTTTCTAAACTGTAAACTGCATCGTTCAGAGGTTTCGATTAGCCTATACTAGGCTTATCAGTGTTTTTATATTTTGAGTTTAAGCAATGAATTTCCGGTGTATTATTCTAATGGCCAAGGCAGCAACTGTGGTGCGTTTACTGACTGTTATTGACTGTTCACAGCTGGCACGGCCATAGGGAGTGACCCTGGACTTCATTTACGCTTGTCTTATGTCGACCTCTGCTGGACTCATTATGCTATTACATTTTAATTCATGGTCCATCTTCAATATTCAGTAGTACCGTGGTCGGTATTATTATTATTATTATTACTAATAACAAAACTGTTTATACAAAAAGTAGGGTAGGGCAAGTTCAGCACTGTTAGAGTGGCTGAGAGGGGTTACTGAGGCTATCCCTGATCCTATCCACAATCATATATCCTGCCATTACCTCCAAACTGTCCAGGTCCAGTCCCACAACAGATTGAGCCTTCCTAACCATTCTTCTGCTGGACTCAGCCAATTTCATAAAAGCACAGATCTTTGGCAATATGTGCCAGGAGACAAGTCAGTGAATTGCACTTGGAGTTTATTACATTACATATTTCTGGTTAAACTATTTTCAGTTTTAGACTTCAATAAATGTTGATCGTATTCTGCCCGCACCTTAGACTGTGGTTTAATTTTCTGCCCCTTGTGTGATTGAGTTTGACACCCCTAATATATAGGAAAACCTGTAGACAGGCAGTTTCACAGCCTGTCCGCACGGGGGGGCTCTAATTTATATGCCTGTTTGTCACTGCTGCTGTCAGAGAATGAATGTGTATGGCTAGTCGCCTGGTATCTTTGGCAATGTTGTCATTAGCAGAATGATATCGCAGCGGGATAGAGGAGAATTTGCTCGGTTTTATACTGTCACGGATCCTAAAAAGCACCAGAAAGGCTATACTGTGTACAAAGTCACCGCAAGGGTAAGTAAAGGGATAATAGGATAACTGACAGCTAGGCTAATGCTAGCTGTTGTTAGCTAGCTGGGGCAAGTCTAGTTAGAGGAACTAAATGATGCAAACACAAGTAACGTTACCTTAACCTCACTGTGATTAGTTGACAGTGGTAACCACTGTTTTTAATTCCGCGGGTATTATTAACGAGCTAATTCAGAAGTTGTTGTTTTACTGTGTTTTTAAAGCCCTTTTGGTTTTCTAATTGCTTACTTAGCAGTGTTAGCTATACTGATTACATGCGAAACCAGCTGTATCAAGCCGGTGTTAACCACTGGATAGCTAACTAGCCGGTTGTGTTAGTGTTATTAACTAACTACTGTACATGCAGCGTTACGATCGACGTGCATCAAGGAGATCAAGCATCTTTAAGCAGTCCATCTCAGTCGACCTTAACAAGACAGCTGGTCATTAGCTATTTTTGAACCATGTTGCTCAGAGAAGTGCCTTGAAATCAGTGGTTGGAGCTGTTTGTGTCACTGTCCCAGAAGGTGCCGCTATACTCTGGAAATGTTTCAAGTTAAGAGGGAAAGCCCCGATAAAATTGGCCAGCAGTTTTACATGGACCCTGCTCCCCATTAATAATATGCCTCAACTCACGGATCACGTACAGGGATATGTTCTTTGCTGGTAAAATAAAGAGAAATACCCCATTATTTATTCACACTGTCAGACCTACAGTTACCAGTGTGTTCAGTGATTTTACAGCTACATGGGCACATTTCCAGTTTGATAACTAAAGAACAAGGGCAGGCTAAGTTTCTTTGTCCTCAACTGCCTGCCGTCCTGCTTGTTATGAATGTTGGTGATGTCTCGTTCTAACACAAAAGACTTCGTCCCTTGCTTCATAATGCACTCATTGTCACACTCAGAGCTGCTCATACTTGCCACAACCCCACAAGAATGTCTTTGCAGCAAAACCAAGTTTGACATCGAACTTTTTAGATAGGAATTGCATGCATGGTATTTCTAAAGCCCCAAGCTATCTTGTCCCTCTTCCACACAGATAATCTCCAGGAAGAACCCAGAGGACGTCCAAGAGGTAAGACATGAAATCATTATTTTTATATGGTGAATTTGTTGACTCTTCCTCATTAAGTTGGTTGATACCTTACAGCTACAGTATAATCTAAAAAAAGCTATTGTACTGTATTTAAGAAATTTCATCTAATGAAAGTGAGGCAGACTTATTGTGAAAAGCTGTTGGTTGTGCATGCTGTGTGTTTTCCCTATTTAGTTTGTTACACATCAGATTTTGTGACTTGTGAAATATAACACATAAAAAGTTGAGAATTAGGCGTACATCAGGAGAATTATTGGATTCCTTTCTCCCATTCATTTAGCAGAACATTCAACTATCCCTCTTTCTCACAGTTTGTCATGAACATGCAGTATAAACACAAATACTCTTAGATCTAAAACACACTGAGGAATGGAGTCTAGCCTGGAAGCAGTGCTAATGCATCAGGCATGGTGTCAATTAAAGACAGAGAGAAAGAGTTTTGCCTGGAAACATACAAACCCCCATTACTGAGTGGTGCTCCTGTGATTCTCAGCCCAGTTTGTTTCATACCGGCTGCCCAGTCAAGATAATAGGAAACCAGCTTGCATCTCAACATTAGGTCATTATGTTTTGCTTTATCCTGCAGAGTAAGCAACTGCTTCCTCCAGGTTTGTGTGTGAATGTTGTGGCTTGCACAAGATGGCAGAGAGATGATGACTATAACTTGTCTTATGAGTTTGATTGACTCACGTGTTTAGGAGCAATAGTTGACATTTCATCCATTGTAATGTCAAGCTGTGGGTTGTTCTTGTTGTTGAGTGCTTTAATGTTTGTTTTTAACAAGACATAATGAATATTTCAATGACTGAGAGATTTGAAAATCAGTTGAGTAATAATGAGATTACATGTACAGACAAATACAAAATCAAGTTACCCCTTCAAGTAGTGTCTGATGAAGCTTCATACATGTTTAAATTCAAAATGATTGGTTGCTGAACCTCCAGCCTCCTTTATGTCCCCATCCATCTTCCCTTTTGTCTTTTTCTGCAGATAGTAGTATGGAAGAGATACAGTGATTTCCGGAAGCTTCATCACAATCTCTGGCAGCTGCACAAGAATGTATGTAGCCAGTCAGAGCTGTTTCCTCCCTTTGCCAAGGCCAAAGTCTTTGGTAAGAATCTAACTCACTCATCTGTCAAACATTTGTCGTGATAAAGCTGTAGAGATCAAAAGTTTCTGTTATTTATGCTTGGTTTGACTCAAGGCCGACACTGCCTTTTTCTCCTGTTTGAGTCTTTTTTGCTTCTCCGATACCTTGTAATTTGTTTGTTGTGTTCTGATCTTCTCTAAAGTAACCAAAAAAAGCTATAACTGTGACATACTTTATACAAGACAATAATAGGTCTCTGGATTAGAGAAGAAGCAGCATTTACTCTGCCCCCTTGGGGCAGCATAGTGTTATTATAAACTCTTTCTTGAGATGATCAAACACTTGCTGTGTGTGTCTTTGTATGTGCATCTGTACTGTAGGCCGTTTTGATGACTCAGTGATTGAAGAAAGAAGACAGTGCTCTGAGGATCTACTGCAGTTCTCTGCTAATATCCCTGCTCTCTATGCTAGTCAGCACATACAAGATTTTTTCAAGGTACCGATATATGTGCAGACACATGCAGGAGCACACAATATACAGATGGAATATGGACTGCAGCGTTTTTAATATATTTTCAGGGAGGTGAAGTCCACGACGGCTCAGAGCTCATTGGACCAGCTGAGCCCTTTTCTGACTTCCTGGTAGACAGTTTATCAGACTGCAGCTCCGATGGTAGGGTTACAAACAAATAACTCTTACACGGAATTAATCTTCCTGTGACTGTAAATTCAAATTTTCTCAGAGATGTGTGGATGTGTTTTTCAGTTCAAAGAGACATCAGTGGTGCAGATGATTTGACTATCACATCTGAGTATGGAGGTAGAGTATGTCTAGTTATCAAAGTAACACACCTACATTAGAACTTAAATACATTTCAGTTTTTCTGTCACTGTAGTCATGTATCTTTCTGCATTGTCTCCTCACCAGGCCCATCCAGTGACAGCGACCTGACCTCCCTGGCTGTGGATACAGACTCTTTGGCTGGGCTGGATGAGGGCATGCCCTCAGGCCGCCCCTCCCCAAACCAGCCACAGGGGGAAGCTACTAACATTAGCAGCAGCTGCAGCCCTCGCTTGCCCACCTTGCATGAACGCCGCATCCTATCTCCTGCCCCAGTCGCGGCTTCCTCAGCCCCTAACCCAGAGATCAGCTGGCCAGGTCGTATGCCGCTCTTTTCCAGCAGTCTGAAGAAAGCCAGTGGTAGCAACACAAAGGACGTCAAGTCAGGCTACCTAGACAAAGCAAGCGAACTTATCGGTTTGGCTATAGAGAAAGAGAAACAACAGGACTACCGGGCAGCTTTTTCCTACTATCACAACGGTGTGGACCTGCTGCTGCAGGGAGTGCAAGGTCAGTTTGTTTGAGAGCTGGGTAACTTTGCTGATAGGTCAGTGGTTTCCACTGGAATGAGGACCAAAACATGCCTTGAAGAGTTGTTTTCATTCATTCTGAAATGCTTTCTGTCAGTTAAAAATCTATAGCCTTCAAGTCCAAATCCACAATCAGACACGATGCTGCTCCCTCTGGAGCCACAGAGAACATTATACCACTGTTACACAGAGTGAGACATACTCCTTGTGGCTAGTAAACCCATTAACCACTCACAGGTGGGTCATGACTGGAAACAGAAACGGTGCCCTCCTAACAAAAAGTACAGTAACATACATTGATATAGCTATCTCAGCTTATTACTTAATACCAGAGGTCTTTCTGCTTGGATGAGTGACCTTGTATTAATGAAGACAGTGATTCTGCAAGCACCCACCTGGCTGAAGTGTCCAAGAGCCAGCGGTTGTTGTTCTTTAGTTAACCCTGACCTCGCATCCCTGTGTGGAATGGCCAAACCAGAAAGACATCATGTTTCCTCATGGTTTTTTCACTTGTCACAGTAAACCTACTCTGTCTGTAAAAAAAAAAAAAATGCAAGTACACAAACTTCTAACTTTGCATTAAAACTGATTCTTGAAGAAAAATGATTGATCTCCATCACTCTTGTTTTAGGTGAGCCCAGTCCCACGCGGCGAGAAGCAGTGAAGAAGAAGACTGCAGAGTATCTGATGCGTGCAGAACTGATATCCAGTCAGCATCTAAAAAGCAACATGGGTCAGGGGTCACCGCAGGCAGTGGTGAGCAGGAAGGAAATGCCATTGGCCCTTATGCTGTCTGTGTTAGTTATGAAAATGTGCTTTATACTTTAAGAATGCATCCACTGGGGTCCTCAAACCACGTGAGCTGGTAAAACGCATCACAGCACGTCTGTTGAAAACTATTCAGCCTCTTGGAAAAATGCACACAGAGATGCAGAGAAGTTACAGTATATGTAAGAAAGCAAACACAAATGTGCATCTCCCTTAAAATATAATTTAGTTTTGTTTGTACTAGACACCGTCTGCCTTGTGAAGTTTATCATTTTATATTTCTGACTATCACACAAACTGCTGCTCTTTTTCACAAATGATTTGGGTCCCATGTTGCAAGAGATCATTGTATCTTATGAATGTGACCAAATTTGCCCATCATTGAAACACTTCAATGTTTTTTCCAAGGCTTTGGGGGCACAGTGCTGCGCTTCCACCAGCAGAGGAGGCCAGCAGATTCCATCTGAAGAGCTGAGAGCTTACAGGGTGTTGGGTGTCATAGATAAGGTCAGTTTACCAAGTTGTCCATCAAGTTTAGTGATTTGCACTTTGATGTTGTTTTTACTTATAAACCCAATCAATAATTTGTCTTTTTTTCTACATAGTGTGTGTAATGCACAAAACACAAAAAAGAAATGCATGTTATAAATAAACATTTGATTAAATGTCAGAATTTTTTCCTTGCATATTAAGATAAATATGGAAGAAGAGAGGTTATAACAAAACAATTACACTCAGGTCCAGCAGACACTCATGTATTTAACCATAGCCCAGCCCAGAATGTGGATGGTATCATCTCCAAATTTCTCCCTGTGTCCTTTCCTTCTTTTGACAGTCTCTTTTATCTGAAGCAATAAAAGTAATAGATTTACTGGATGGTATGCTAAGGACTGAGTGTGTGTATGTTTAGCGCCAGTTACGACTACCACAAGGTCAGTTTACGTTGCCGGTCCTCTCAACCAGCTGCCGGCGAAGCAACTTCACCACTCAGCCATGAAATGACTTGGCAAGCAGCTCGGAGAGCAGCACACAACATTGAATCAACGATGCTCATCCTGCACACGCATATACACACACCCACAAAACCCTAAGGAAAATGTTGACACAATACCAACATGTGTTACTCTACAGAGGAGCATGCAAAATCCACAAAATGTCAGACAAATCAGACAAAAAAAACCACCATAAGCAGATACTAAGCGCTGCAGAAATGGCCTGCCTTCCTCTCCTCCTTCTTTTTCCTCCTTTCACTTTTAATGGGGACAGAGGGGACAGATGGAGAGAGCTCCTCACCCTTCTGCTCTCCACCCCTCACCCCCTCCCTCCCTCTCCACCTCCCCCCTTCCCTGATGTTTGTATCTTAATTATATTAGCACCCTGGCTAGCACTGCCACTCTGTTTACTCATGGCTCCATTCATATCCATTTAGCCTGCACCTGTTTGGTTCCAGCCAGGGTCACATGGAGAGAACGCACCCACAAAACATAAACGTGCACTAAACTACGCACAAAGACACACCAGGTCACACACATATGCTCATGCTCTCCCCTGAGACAGCGAGGGAGCAGAAGGGCAATGGAGATGTCAGAGAGAAAAGGAGGGCTGAAGGTAGGAGGAAATAGAGGTATTAGGAAGAAAGGGTGAGACAGAGAGAGAGAAAGTAAAGGAAAGTGAAATGTGAGATGGTAGGAGCTGCTTTTTTGGCATTTAGACAGGCGGAAGGTGGATGATTTACACATAGCACTGTTAGCCATTACTGTGTCTGTTTTGAGGCATTGCACAGCTCTGTGTTCACATATTTTTCAAGGAGCACATGTGTTTCCAAAATTAAGAAATTTTGGAACAGGAAAGAAAGGTGTGCATCTCCTAAATGGACAAATGAGAATGAGCAGCACTGTGGCTTAAAGATGAATCTGTCAGTTATTTATTTATTTAATTTTTTTTTTGTTTAAGTCTTGGCATTTTCGATTGATAAATGACTGGCTACATTTCTTAAGATAATCTCATCAAGTGTCAAAGAGCTAATTGATTAATGAGCAATTTCATTGAAGCATTTATTAAAATATATATTCTGTCTTTTTTTGTTTGTTTTATTTTGTTTTTAAAGCTTATATTGTGTTTTTTTCCCCTGTTTATTTGCTGGTACACCACAGAGTTATGTTGTGCAGACTGGGCTTGGTGAACTTATCAGGATCTGATAATATCATCTTAAACTGTCTGTTTTATACATGGCAATTAATTGCACTCTTCCATCACAGGTTCTTTTGGTCATGGACAAGAGAACACAAGAGACGTTCATCCTGAAAGTAAGTTTTGTGTTGTGCGTGCGTGTGTGTGTGCGGCCTGTATCCTTGTCGTCCTGACTGTAAGTGTGAAGTGTGCCAGAAGCCCCTGTGTGTGACCAGTGTAATTGATTCTAATGGACCTATCCCTGTCAGCTCCTCTGCTCTCAGGTGTGAGACGTGTGCCAGATGCACACGCAACAGCGCAGGCACAGATGACTACACACACGTGCGCACATTAACACGCATACCTAGACACACTCTCAGCCAATGTGAACTTAACTTGTAGTGCTGATAGATTTGTGTGGCTGTTTTTAAAGTCACGCGCTGTATGTGGCTTGATGAATTCAGTGACTTTGGGTTGCCAGGGGGCATAGCTGGTACTTTGTTAATGGGAGGTTTCTCCTTTGCCACAACCCCTTCCTCATTTTTTTACACCTTCGTCTTCACACAACCTAGACACACATCTTCCCTCATCTATTCCCTCCTTACTTAAGTTAATTGAACTTTTCTCTTCTTGTCCTTAAATGCACATTGTTTG